TACCCGCCGGTTGCGGGGCCCCCCCCCGAGCGGCGGGGGGCGGCGCAGCCGCCCTCGGGACCCGCGGAGCCGGCAGCAGGGGCCGCCGGAGCTCGGTCAGTGCCGGCGTGTGAGCTCGCTCGCCCCGGCCAGGCTGAGCGGCCCTCGCGGAAGGCGGGGGCTGTGCGTTCGGCAGGAGGAAGCGCTGTCTGCTGCCTTCTCACTTTTCCCTTCTCTGGTTTTCTGCTTGCAGGCAGCTCTGCAACAGGAATGACGGTGAACACGCCCCTGTGTTTCAGAGGGAAGAGCATCCTGGCTCCGATGGTGCGAGTCGGAACGTTACCAATGCGGCTTCTTGCTTTGGATTACGGTGCTGATATAGTGTACTGTGAGGTAGGAGGGAATCTTACCTGAGAACACCTTTAATAAAAACAAATGTTTATTGTAATGCTTTTTATATCAATCTATATATATTCTTTTCATTAGGAAAACAGGGAAAGAAGAACCTCTGTGGCTTGATATATCACCCGTTGAACTTTACTCAAATTATGGCCGATCTGTATTTTAAGGCTCCTTTATGATTTGTATTCAGCTAGCTAAAAGATGCACTATAGAAGTTTCCTTATATTTTGCTGTTTCTTTTTGGAGTTCTGGCTTTGAAATCAATCTTTGACTTTTACCAAATGCAGAGAACCCTTAAGTTCTTAGCATAAAGATAATTACCTCTTTAAACTTTATCTTATTGTTTTAGTCATTTATGTATTTGGGCAGTACAAATGCAGATCAGTTCTTAAGGATATCCTGTTATTGTAACATTGAGTTATTTTCTGTTTGCGCTTTTGGTAAATGGTCGTGCTTTTTGTTCCCAGCTCATTAAATATGTGTTTGAACAAAATTTTTCTTTAAGAATTACATAAAATGTTTCATCTTTTCCTGTTCATGTTTTAAAGCTTTAGTTCAGCATTGTTGTGTAATTAAACTTTTCATTTGCACTCTTTTTCTATAGATGATACTTGGTATTTCTAGATAGTTGTATCTGTAAAATAGGACAATTATCACGAACTGGATAGCTTACATATTATTTTTATTCTTTGTTCTCAGGAGTTGATTGACATTAAGATGCTGCAGTGTAAGAGGGTTGTAAATGGCAAGTATAGCTTTTTTGTTGCTCCTTTTAAGCATTCTTTTATTCTAGTTGAGGAAAAATAACTTCTTTTCTGAAATAATTTTATAGCAATTGCAATGAGGTACAGATAATCTCTCTAAACAGCAGCAGTTAGATGCTAAAATTAGTGGGGTTTTTTTTTAATTAGTGTGTTTTTTTTTTTTCTTAAGACTGACCTTATACCTGCATGCTGTTCTGCAGTTTTTCACCTTCAGTTTCTTTCTTAAAGGATTTCAGTGATTTCGTTAGTGTTCGTCAGGAAAACCACAAATATTTTTGGAGGGCAGGGCTGATATGTTGGTAGCTGATATCTTGATATTCTTACTTGGATCCTAACACACACTCTTACTCTCTTCTTCACCATCTCTAGAATTATCACATATTTGCTGCTCTGTCTTTTCCGTCACTCTAGTTTGTCTTCTAAAGCAACAGGTTTCTGAGCTGTTTCTAGCTTTCTGTAGTAAAAAATCAGAGGTCTAAAACAAAGTGTCTTTGCCTACTAAGAATCATATGTGCCCACTGTATTTTTATTTGTTGTATTTTCTTTCTGTAGGACTAGTTGTTTATAAACCCATTTTCATATAGGCTTCTTTCTTAGGAACTCTTCCCTTCCCAGATGGGTATATATTTCCTTCAGAAACTTCAGAACTCTTTCAGAAAAGAGAATTCATATAAAGCTTTCATTAAAGAGATAGATTCTTTTGAAAATCTGTTGTATTAAGATCATCCATTGTGTTCTATAGACATCATTGGCCTTTTGATTCATTTATTTTTTTTTGAATATGTTCTGCTAAGGATAGGCATTAAGCAGCTGTGTCAAACAGGAGTTTCAAACTGAGATATGTTTTATTTGCACATAAAATTTAAAAATTTAATGGGTGTTTTCCATTTCCTACTGTTGGGGAACCCTGAAGTGAACGCAGAACTCCAGGTGCAGCCTCACCAGGACTGAGCAGAGGGGCAGAATCGCTTCCCTCGACCTTCTGCCAATGCTCTTCCTATTGCAACCCAGGATGCAATTTCTTTTGGCCACAAGAGCACGTTGCTGACTCACAGTGTTGGACCTGTGACTCCCAGGTCCTTCTCTGCAGAGCTTCTTTCCAGCTGGCCAGCCCTTGGCCTGCACTCATGCATTGCATTATTTCTCCCCAGGTGGAGAATTTGTCGTTTTAATTTGCTGAACTTTGTAAGATTTCTTTCTGCTCATTTCTCCAGCCAATTGAGGTTGCTGTAAATGGCAGCACAACAATCTGGTGTCTCAGCTGCTCCTCCCAGTTTTGTATCATCAGTGAACTTGCTGTGAGTGCTCTCTGTTCCTTTAACCGGGTCATGCTGGGCCTCCCGACAGCAAAGTGGATCTGCTCGAAGAGAAAGGGTAGCCAAATTAGGATGTTCTCTCTGAATTAGAAATAAACAAATCAGAGGGGTATAAATTAGCTCAAAGGAATATAAAAAAAACAGACACTAGGATTTGTTAATGTATTTGATGTATAGTATCCAATTAGAATACTTGCACAGGACAGAAAAAATATGCTGTTGAATTACAAGTATTAGGTGTGTTCCGTATTTGACAGAGGTCAGATCACTGGATGAGCAGATATAGGCCTCGTAAAATGAAAGACTTTATATTTCTGGCTCAGAATATTCTGTTTTATCTGTTTCTCATTTCATAGATGTCCTCGACACAGTGGACTTTGTTGCACCTAATGAAAGAATTGTTTTCAGGACTTGTGAAAGGGAGAGACACTGTGTTATCTTTCAGATGGTAAGAAATCACCGTGCAGTACACTTCTGCAAACACAGATTAATGTTGCCAACACTACAGGCTTTAAAGGAGTCTAAATAGCTGTCTGTATTGCAGATTAGCTGTTCTAAAATGTTTCAGGTGGAGATAGAATTTCTGCAACACACTTGGTGTGAAATTATAATGTATTTGAATGTATGTAGCCTGAATGCTAAATTAAAAGTTCCCTCTACAGCTGTTTTCAAAAGAGGTGATTAAAATTATGTGCTCTATGAAAGCTCCTTATTTTCTTAACAGGTATTTTTGCTAAAATTCCAGACATACAGGTACCAAAGCTAAATGACACTGTGTAAGTCATATTTCTAAATCTTGCTGCGTGAACATCTCACTTGAAAGACTAAAAACACTGTCATTCTTTAGTCTGGATAAGAAAGGATCTATGTGCATATTAAAGTTGTGTAAATAATTAAAGGCTGCTGAAGAGAAAGAGTGATAATATGCTCTTTGAGTCCACTGGCTGTAGGATAAGATAATGAGGGGGAAAGCTGTGTAGACTGCATTAGACATTGGGAAAGACCCTTTCCAACGAGGGCCAAGAACATTTGACACTGCTCTAGGCTAAGAGAGGGACCTGACCTCCCAAGGTCCTTCTCTCCTTCTCTGCCTTGCTTATTGTCATTCCGTGGTTAACTTAGCAGTAGCTAAGCTTGTGTAAGTCATCTCCTCCCCTTGCTCTTTCTACCCTGTGTTTGAGTCTGCTGTACCAAGGAATTATCCCAGAAGACAAAATAAAATGATTAGGAGGGGGTCAAGATAGGTCTTGATAGGACTTTTAACAAAAGTAACTTCAGTAAGCCAAAGTGTTGCAGGAGCAAGCTGCACGGCAAAATGTAGCAGTGATCTGTGTCTAAAAAAAGCCAGGGGTATAATGATGTGAATTGTCTGTACTGCAACTTCTGTTTAACTCCCATTATAGACTTTTATATATATGTGTGTGTATATATATATATATATATTTTTTTTTTTTTTCCTCAAAGCTACTGCTGCGTAACTTCCTTGCTGGGATTGCTGGCTGTTCACTAGAGCAGTTATTGTGTGGTTGATCTTTCCAATATGTAGCTTTTTTGGGTATTGCAATACCTGGAAGTAGACCAATATGCCTAAAAATGTCTGTTATTCTTTGTAGTTTGAAGCCCTCAAAATATTGTGCAAAAGCTACTCTCATACCTTAAGAAGCTTCCATTTTAAATAGATGTAAAGTAAGATGATTAACTATAGTGACAGTGGTCACTACTTGCAGCCTTCCCACACTTCCCCACAGCACGGGCAGTTGAAACCTGTGCCCAGGCAGGTGTTCAGACCACCCTTAAAAAGGTATGTAACTTAAATGAGAAGCTAAAAAATCAGAAGTTCAGATTTATTTTTAATCTTATATTCTTCTGCAAGCACCATGACAATAAAACAGGCTTCCTGGTAAGATGTGTATTTCCCACTGCTTGTTCTAACATAATGAAATACATTTTTCATTTTGTTTCTTTCAGGGAGAGTGATGTAGCTGGTATCGATATCAACATGGGCTGCCCAAAAGAATATTCTACAAAGGTAAGTAGATTTAGATTCCTCTTAAATAATCATTTCTTCCTTAGAGGCATGGAGTGTAAAATACACGTTCTTTTTTTCTGAGATGAACAACTGAAATAGGGAAACTTCTGCTCGTCTTTGTGAACAGCAGTGGCTTGAAGGTTTTGTTGTACAAAGTTTAAACTAAAGCTAGGCAAGGAAGGTTTCACAACTGTACGCTGCTCAGCTCAAACATGGATTAGTTTTAGCTAGGATAGTGGCTATCTTTAGGAAAGCGTATACAAGCTGAACTATTCCTGCATCATTTATGGCTAAAACATACAAGTCTAACGAATTGTTAGCACCATTAGGCCAATTAGTACAAATAAAGTTCAAATAAATTGGGCTGTGTTACTTCATCTTTATATCAGATGTACATGCAGAAATAGAGAAGAGAGAAAATTTGTGGTCGTTTTCAAAGGAAAAGAACTTCAGAGAATAAGGAAATAGCTGAGTCTGCAAGGTGTATCTAGAGATACCTGCTCCAACCACCTTCCTGAGGCAGGGTCAGCTAGTGCCTAGAGCTCAGGAACTTGTTCAGCAACTTTTGAAGTTCTCCAAAGGTGGAGACATCACAGTCCCTGGGCGACCTGTTCCAGTGTTCAGCTACTTTTACAGTGAAGAAGTGTTTTCTAATGTTCAGTAGACTTCCTTGTTGTTTAGTTTGTGCCTACTGTGTCTCATCCTTCAGCTTGGAAGATTCAAAGCTTCATTCCTGGGGAGAAGCCTGATTGTAGCCTTCAAGCTTTCTGTCGTCGTCTTCTCTCTCTCTTTTTTTTTTTTTTTTTTTTTTTTTTTTTTTTTTTAATATATTTACATTTCTAGCTTTGGCCCAAGTTCTCTGTCATATATAACTGGTAAAACTTCACCCTTTCAACAGTGAAACTAATATATTTGTGTAGACAATACTTTCAACTTCATTGTTCTGTCTTAGGTCTTCGGTTACATTTGGAAACGTTTTACTGTCTTCTTACTAAAGCGTGGGGCAAATGTAAACAGTAACATAAGGTCTGTCCTACTTCCAACCATCAATCCAGATGCCTGTGAAATAAGTGAACATTTTTTTTCCTTCCCCTTAGGCAGTAGAAAAAGAAGAGCTTTTGTTTTCTGGCAGTTTGCTGCAATAGGCAGATGTATAGACATAGCCAATTGAAATGGGGTATTTGGTGTTTGAAAGCAATGTTGCTGAAACAGGGGATATTAAAGGCCAGAGCTGACACTGCTGAACATGCCCATAGCTTACATGATACCCTGACATTGTATAGACCCTACTTCAGAGTATCCTGCCCTCCTTTTTCATTTTCTCAGACAATGGAAAAGAATGATTGTGTCTAAGGGGATTACATTTTCCAGTAATGGAACATTTCTCATGAGAAAATTACTTAAAAAGGAAAAGAGTTTATTTTAGTCCAGAATGCTGTAATAAGATAGAGGAACAGAGCTGTGTCTTGGCATTTGGAAAAAGAAGAACCAAAGGGTCGTAATAACTGTATATAGATTATATAAGACATGGCTGGTGTTTTCCTATCACAAAAATTGCTTTTCCATCGGACCATGTGATGTGAATAAAAACTGTTGAATGCCCTTGTGATATTTTCTCTCTAATGGCCTAGGCTTTCAGCCCAGATCAGATATGGCAATAATGGGAATCTCAGGAGCTGGTGCAAGGAAGGCATAGCCTGGAGAAATCTATAGGGGACATATACCTACCATTGTGGGTTGGCTTGCACTCTGAAAAACAATGCCTTAAATTTCTTCTAATGTATTTTATCAAATGTGACTTGGGAGTAGAGGTACCATGTACATTTCTAGGCTTTTTTCTATATTAAACCTTTGTTCGTTTGTTTCAATGATCATTTGTGAAAATGACAAGCTAAATGACCTATCAAAGTGAATATATCATAATATTGTATTTCATGATATCATATCATGAAATATCAAAAATTCAAATGCTGGTGTATAGTTAATTTCTGACTAATATTGTGTTGAACAAGTTCACACTTGCCTGAACTTATTTCTTATGGTTACCTTTTGACCTCGAGATCTATACATGCAGATGAGAGCATAGAAAGAGCAGCCAGATTATTAAAAAATACAGTATTCAGAGTTGTTATTTTATACAGGTACTTAATTTGCATGAGGTGTTTTTTCTGGGTTTGTAGTGACAGAAACTACTGACATCAAGACCTCTCAAACAGTGTGTAATGTATCTGTTCTACTGTCACTTGATGAGTAGAAAACAGTTGATTGCAGTTTTTAAAAGTAGTTTGTGAAATTGTTTCCTCCTTAAAATACTGCAAGCAAGTTAATGCCCTGAGTTACAGCTTAATTATTCTAATACAACTCTAGGAAAAGTATTGCTTCACCAAAGTGTTGACTTACATTCCTGCATTTCAGATTTTGCCTTTTTCCTAAATTATTTTTTTTAAGACTGTACTTTTTCTATGGTTTGCTGTTAGTCAAAGTAATTGAGTTGCCAAATGTGTTTGCATTTTTCATGTCTCTAATGTATAACAGTTCCTCTGTATTTTGCCAGGGAGGCATGGGAGCAGCACTGCTATCTGATCCTGACAAAATAGAGTCTGTAAGTATCACCTTGGGGGTCCTCAAGTGCAGTGGAATATATCATAAACAGAGCTCTATGGGAAGCAGGAATTAATGCACAGAAGATAGATTTGTAAAGTGGAATAAGGAGTTTTGAATATTAATATTAAGCTTAAATTGTTCTTAGATGTTACTATTCTATTAAAAAGAATATCACTGAGAAATGATTTGAGTAGTCTGGCAGTGCGAGGCAACACTGTTTTACTTGCCGGTTGTCCTAAGGTTGTCCACTTCTCTTGGGCAAAGTGAATTATCTCCTCAGTTAAGGACTGTGTGTGTTCTTCTGGCATGTAAGATCCCTTACAGAGGTACAGCAATTAGTGTTACATTCTAATTTCCTTGTATACTCAAGAAAAGGAAGGCAAGCTTTATTCATGTCACTCTTCTGATGACAATTTCCTTTGTTTTTTTTTTTTTTCAGATACTGACTACTCTTGTTAAGGGAATTTGTAAACCAGTAACCTGCAAAATCCGCATTTTGCCCTCAGTAAGAACATAAATAATCATTATGCTGAAGTATTTTACTTTTAAGTTCAATTTTGTGTTTTAAAATTGGTTAGTATGTATGGCATTCTAATATAGTGACATTTTAGATCTGTTATTTTGGAATTATAATTTCTGTTTGGCATCGCAAACTTAGATTCTCCTCTGTAATTTAAAAGCTTAAAAAAACAAATAATAGTAGATGTCTTCGTGTTTGATGAATTCCAAATGTGTGGTTCTGTAGTGAAAGTATCTTAGTTCTGTTTATCCTAATCCACTGAATTGGTTTCCAAGATTTTACTGTGGACAAGCATTAAATTAAAATAAAAAGGGGAAAAAAAAGGCACTCTGACTCTAGAATAAAATTGCTACATGTGGCATTGATTGTGAGTAAATTCATGTGTAGAAAATCAGTGTGATGAATTTTCAATTTTTGGACAGTTCTCTTGAAGTTTAACCAAGGGGAGAAGACCAAGCCCTAAAACTACTTCTCCAGTTTCTGAGGTTCATAGTAACAATAAAGATTTCACAGATGAAATAGTTTATTAATGAAATTGCTTGTGCTGTATAAGCTATATGTAATCCACAGATCTGCAAGGTTTTTGCTTTAAAGTTGTTTTAAACATGTAATATTACTGCAGTCTTTGACATATAGTAAATAAGGAATCAACTTTTGCAGCCTTTTGGGAAAGTTTTTGATGGATTTCAGCACTACAGTTGCTGGCTTATGCAGTGAGATTCATAGTCATCATTCTCAAAAGCAGCATCTTCATCACAGTTAAAATGATTTTTCTGGATAGATTCTTCTCTACTTCTCTGAAATGTGTAGCATAGTGACTCTTTTAACATTGCTTATATGCAGAGAAAATATTTCTGTGAAAGGGAGAAAACTTGGGAGTAGTATGACGGTTTTAAAGGACATTGTAGTAGGACTGTTTTTCTTGCCCAAGTGGTTATTTTTCCTATAGTCAATACTTTTCTAAAATGCAACCATTATGAAGGTAATAAAAATGTATAAATTCATTTGTTATAGCTGCTGTAGTTTCTTACCAGATTTTTTAATTGAATTCTTTACATATATTTTAAGTTATAGCTGCTGTAGTTTCTTACCAGATCTTTTTTTAGTTGAATTCTTTACATACATTTTAAAACTCCTGAAGTTCTGTCATCTTTTTTTGTATGACTGATTATTCTGCAAGTGTGTATTTAATTACCTGCATAATTACTGTGGTTGAGAATGAACCACTTCTGTAGTTGGATTAACTGTAGCTAACTATTGTTCAAGAAGCATTTATTCATCCACTTAAAATTATTAAATAGTCATTTGAACCTGTGTGAAAAGATCACTTTTTCAAGGTGTTGCCTAATACTCAATCAAAGAACTGGCACCTCTCCTTTTTATTTTCTACAACTATTCTAGACCCTCTTTTTGTTTCAAGCTGCTTTTGCATAACATGTCTTCCATGAGAACAGCAGGTGAACTTCTATTTCTTTGTCCATGCAAGCTGGTAGCTGTTACACTTTTCACAGACTTGATCTGCTTTGAAAACTGTCTTTTTTTTTTTTTCCTTTCCCTCTCCCTCCCCTCCGTTTTTCCTTCCTTTGCCAAAAGCTGCAGAGCTGCCTATAGCAGGCTAATCCTGCACAGTACAAAATTTCTCTCTGCCTTTTGTTAACAGTATTTTACTTCCTGAAGCTTTCCCATTCCCTCTGCATCTTTTGGTCAATCGGTCATGTGTTAATACCACTCAAATTGTTTAGACACTTGTAAACTGTTGATACACATGTGTGAGAAGAATATTAAGGATGCATGATTGCATGTGAGGTTGACTTCAGGAGGCATCCTCTTAATTACCTATCCAAGATGCATTTTAGTTGGTTCAAAGAATAGGCATTAAAGAGGACCTGCTAATCAAGCATTTTCTATCACTTTCAAAAGACAGTCTAAAAAACTGTTGATGGATATTCCCCTACTAGAAAGTATTATGTTCCCTGGCTCAAGAAGATTCTTAATCTTCCTTTCCTTAGGGGGAACGTATTGGAAGGGGTATTGTGGGGAGTTTTATGTGTTGTTTAGCCATCATAGGCCATTTTTTTTCTTGCCTATGTTGAAGAGATATGGATATTGGAAACTAGTGTTGAAATACAGGAGTCGTATACCTCTGGTGAAGGAAAAGACTTCCTTAAGTTGTTTGTGTGGTGATTGTATGTGTTTTGTGTTTGTTTTTTGGATTTTTTTTCTCTTTTTACAAAGATCATGTCATTCTCTTTTATCCCTTAGGTTGAGGATACTGTAAATTTGGTAAAGAGAATAGAGAAAACTGGTGTTGCTGCCATTGCAGTCCATGGAAGGTAAATGTGTTTTACAACTGTTGCACTTTTATTGCAGCCTTCTGGCAAACGGAGCACATTAAGATAAGACCCTATCAGATATATTCTACTGTTAACATGTGGTTCTGATTTCCACTGCTGGCTGAATCGATGTTTTAGATGGTTAGACCAGTAATTACGGAATTAATTTATTTGGTGATATTTTTCTGAAATTTTAGCCTCAGTAAGAATGAAATAAAACTAAATCTACCTTGCATTAGTAAGTCCCAAAATGTCATTAGCATAGTGACAAAGTCCAGTCTGAATTTCTTTTTTCTTTTTTAAAAAAAAGGCTTTATTTTGATATGGAATTACAGTATTATTTTTCTTTTTAAAATGCATTTGATATGAAATAATTCTATTAAAAATATTATTAATCAAGCATATAACGTAATTGAGGGTAAATACTTATGTCAAAATAGTCCCTGAATGATGAGATCTAGATACATAAAGATTCCATAGAAATCTGTGATGTTTTCTTTATCTGTATTGAAAAGGAATAAGGAGGAGAGGCCTCAGCACCCCGTCCACTGTGATGTGATCAAAGCCATATCTGAAGCAGTCTCCATTCCAGTAATAGCCAAGTAAGTTGAGCTGGTTAAGCTGGTTATTGAAGATGAAATCCAACCAGAGCAAAAATGAGCAAGGTTTTTCATGTAGGGCAAGTGCAATGTTATCTAAGCATCACTCTTAAGTAGCTTACCCACTTTTCAGTTTTCAAAATGAATTTTTAAACAGGAAATTCAAAAAGCAAGCAAGATTTATACCTTGCAATGAAACCTTTGTTTTTTTTCCCTAGTTAAAAGATGAAGCTACCAATAACAGTAGTAGGAGAAGGGATTAAAATATAAAATGAAGCTAACTATATTTTCCATGAGTAGGAAAAGTAAGCAATTACTATATAAAAATGCAAGAAATTTATTTCTGATAAATTAATCAGTATCTCATTTTACTTCTTTGCAAGGGTCAGAGTGTGCTGAAATAACCTCTTCAGTGCTATTTCTTCAATCCTAAATCCCAGTTCTTCTCTAAAGAAAGGATATGATTGATACTTTCATACAGTGATTTCTAAAATGGGATTGTGCTCCTGGAGTCATCTCTCAAAACTACAGGAAGATTTCTTGTATTGTCTTCACATTCTAAGTGTCTAAACTAACTTAATGCTTTAAATTATGTAGCTTTCTTTGGTTTCGAATTTGACAGTGATTTTTCTTTTAAAGGGATACACTCAAAGCTTGCATTGCTAGTTTTATTTACTTTTAAAAAAGAATTATACAGGGAAACTTTGGGAGAAAGATAATGTGTTTCAAATGTTCTTTTTTCTTCACAAAAGCACCTGATTTGTTGACTTGAAAGCAGAGGCAGTACAAACTTATTTTAACTTTGAAGTGTTGTGTGACTGATTTATAGTTCTTCTGCATATGTGCCAGAGCAAAAATGGAATGATGCTATCCAGATTAAATTCATTTTCAGTATCGCCAGTGCCAATAGCATTAGCATGCAATTGGAGATTGCAGCACTGGAAATAATGTCATTTTCCAACAACATGGAAGTGATTCATTCTGGACCTCAGGCACTAAAAATGGTGTAAAGGCTCATTTTGCACAAGCTGTAATGGTGGTTGACCATCATTAACAGTGTTCCATCACGCTGGAAAACACAAGGCTCTGTTAAAGCACAAGTGGTCTCAGATAAGACTTTCTTGATCAAGTGATGTTCATTTTCAGTGGAGGATCTCATGACTTCATCAAGGAATATATGGACATTGAGACCTTCCAGAAAGCAACGGCTGCCTCGTCCGTAATGATAGCTCGTGCTGCCATGTGGAACCCCTCTATCTTCAGAAAAGAGGGTCTTTTCCCTTTGAAGAAAGTTATGCAAGATTACATCAAATACGTATGTTTATTGAGCAATTTTACTCAAAATCAGCATTGTTTAGCAATGTTAATCCAAATCCTACTACAGTATTTTAACTCCTGCTAGTTTCAGAGGCTCTGATAATATTAACATACAGCATAAGATGCAGGTCTTGGAAATCGCCTTCACTTTCCTTGTGTCACTTTGGTCAGCAGTTTCTAGAAAAAAAATAAAAGCAGGTTTTATTGATCTTTTTTACGTGTGTCCCATACCTTTTAAAGCTTTTGGGGAACACTTGCAACATTATCTTGAAAAGGTTCAGGAATTTTCAAAGCTAATGAAACATAGGCAATCTTATTGATGATGTGTCAGTGTAAGTAACAGAAGGTGAAGGGATATTACATAATAAGTACCTTGCTAGATCTTTTTAGGAACTACTTCCTTATCACAAATATTGTCAAGAACAGCAGAGAAACAAAGGGAATGATTTGTCAATCATGCAATGTTTTATTGTGATTTTATAGCTCCCATCTATTTTTGCTGAACTATTCAAAATATGTTAAACTGAAGTAATAGGAGATGAATTTGTCTTCTACGGCTTGCTTGTGACATCCATTTAGATTTGGTTTTTAAATTTTGGAGAGACATAAACTAGCTACTTTCTGAAATAGTTCTTCACTGCTAGTCAATTTTGTGAATTGGTCAACTCTTGTAACAAGTGTGGAAATAAGTTGAACAGCTTCTCATGAAAATGTGCCCAAACAGATTTGTGCTCCCATTCTTTAGTAGTCTTGAATATATTTTTGAGAAATCCATAGATTTTACTTTGCACTTCCAAAGTACTTCTGAAATTAATCAAGAAACGTGATTGTTACTTACACATCTCTTTGGTGTATGTTTTTTATGTGTTTTGTCTCTCTCCTTCAGGCAGTGAGATACGATAATCACTATACCAATACAAAATACTGTTTGTGTCAGATGTTAAGAGAACAGTTGGAAACAACTCAGGGTAAGAAGCTGCATGCTGCACAGTCTACACAGGAAATCTGGTGAGCATCTGCTTCAGAAACGAGAACACACCTTGTATCAAACCTGAAACCAGTACTCTGTCTGGCATTTCAGACCTTCAGAAGAAGTTGCAAAAATGTCCCCTTAAATGTGCAATATTATTCCATATATATACTTTTCCAAGTTTCTGCCAAGCTCAGGATTTCAAGTTTTAATCCACTACCCTTTTAACCTTAATGTCTGTATATTCAGCATAGTAATTTGAGTGGTGCTTACCTCGCTGAATGACAGGCGTGGATCCTGTGTTTGCATTATCTGAGTTACTGTAACAAAAGTTTCAGCATTCTGTGGTGGCACTCGGGAGGCTAAGAGCACAGCTGTTTTCATTTGGAGGTTTTTTACACAGGTTTTTCTGTGTGCATGTGAGTGTTTTTGTCACGGGGGTTTTTATTTAGGTGAGCACTTAGAGATGAACTCAAAGTCTGAAGGTGGACTGTATGAAGTGGGGAGGTGTTGCTGTTTTTTATACCTGAAATATCTTATCTTAACTTTAAAACCTTTTTGGAGAAATGTATTTGCTTTAGTGAATATTTGATCCTCAACCTCAAAAACAATCTAAAATGAGATTTCTGGAATGAGGAGAGAGGAAAGGAAGAAAAGTTTAGAGAAACTATAAAATATACATATAATCAAGGAAGTCACTAAGAATAAAAGGTAATTGAGGCTTGGGCCCACCCTAAACTGAACAAAATAGAGATCTAAGCTTGTATGTGTTATATTCCTGTTGAGCGCTATGGTAATCTCTTCATGGGATGGAAGGGAAAAGAAAGAGTCTCTATTTTTATAAAATACACAATCTAAAGCCATTTGTTATCTTACACGTATGAGCATGGAAAGAAGTGTTGAAGTATTTTGCAGATGCAATTACTATATTTTAGCAAGCCCTAACCAATGTTCACTTTATGTTCAAAATGAATACAAACGCCCACAATCCTTCTCTAAGTATTGCTGCCCACAATTATTCCATTGCAGTAAGCAAGAATATTAACAATATTTACATTTTGGAAGTTACATTTCATTTTGGAATATAAGTAGCTAAATAATTTTTAGTCTAGTAACTTACTACCTTTTTGGTTCATATTCTAATTTGTTTAAAGAGATGTAGCTTTGATTGAAATTAAAAACAGTTGTTACACTTTAAATTAAATCTTAGCCAAGAGTGGTGGTGGTCTTTACTGAATGAATAGTAACACGTATTATGTGAAGTAAAGAAACAGTTCTCAGCTTTTCAAGGTGGATGTAACCTGCCATGAATTCGAAGTTTAAAAAATATTTTGAGGTGTTTGCCTCTGACCCAAATCCTAGTTGCTTTGTGTCTCATGCTGAACTTCAAGTCTAAATCAAAAGGTCACAGTTTTTAAAGTACTTGGATGCTCTATGATAGTGTTACTGCTTACAATATTTTAATACTAAAATTTGAAAGAAAACAAATTCCTCAATTCCTTGTCTCTTCTGTGTTTGTACTTACAATCTTTTTGGCCTACTCCTTTTTAGTAATTATTTCCTAGTTTTTGCTCATATTGCTTTTGTTGAATTGGTGCAGCAAAAGGTCACTCAAGTTCTCTGCTGATTTGTCCACTTGCAGGTTATTATCTAAGTTAATAACTTGATTTAGCATTACAGGACATGTAATTCTGATGGTTTCTGACTGAACTTTCAGATTGCAAATAGAATATTTGTTGCTGGAAATGAATGCATTCTTTCACAATTTCTGACTCCAGTTTGTCAGATAAGCAGTAAAGCCAGAGTACTACAATGTCACTGTGCAGAATATGTCCATGCTTTCATGTGGCTCACTATGGATATATCCTCTTTTTAAATAAAATGGATTTCTGTGCTTGCTTTTCTCTGTCATAGAATACAAAAATGTATACGCTGATCTCTAATACCAAGGAATTCTGTTTGAATAGTGAGGTCTTTGAGATGGCTGACTTCTATGAAGAAACAACAACAATTTTCACAGCTAAGAAAACATCTTTAGAAACTAAGATACAAGATGAAGATGACCAGATGGATGATCCAGATGTAATAAAAATGGCTGTTAGATTTGACAAGTAAGCATGCAAATTTAGTTTCTCACTATCCTGTAAATAAAAGCTGAGAATCTGACCATGCCTTGCACTTTTTGGATAATACCGGTTCACTTAGTAACAGTGCTTAATGAATTTTTATGAAGCTGCTTGTGTACATCATTCTATAATTGTTAGCATCATCATTCTTCCTGTGCTATTTGGATGTTTACAAGAAGTTCCTTAGTGCCAGGCATCCTGAGATTGTTCGTTTCTCCCAGTTGTTTTATGAAATATGTTGTGTGATTTTTTTAAAACATTTTAAGCATCTCTACGTAAAAGCATGTGAGACTGTAAACAGATTTGCTGATCATTTGTTTTGTTGTTGTTCATGCGTTTGTTTTTTGTTTTCTAGGCGAGAATATCCACCACAGATTACTCCAAAGATGTATCTCCTGGAGTGGTGCAGGAAAGAGAAGCACCCGCAGCCTGTCTATGAAACAGTGAGTCAAGAAAGAAACCTTCTTAAATCTCTTTCTTTTCCACATCTGTAAAATTGTTGCATTAGGACTCAGGGTAATGGGAAATTCAGCTTCCCAGTCTGGCATAGCTTTAGAATGAGCTGCTTCAGAAATGGTAGTATGTGTGAAAATACACATGCATGAAAATAGCAGCTAATTTTATTGCAAGTTAAAAATGTGAAAGTTAGACTTCCAGTCTGGTTTTGATTTAGGTGCCCTGATCGCAGGTCCATGACTAAGTGAGTGTGTCTGGATTACAGCAATTTGTGCTGTTTGCTCTTTAAATTACATGGTGGCTTCCTTTTTAATTCTTATCTCCAGGTTCAAAGACCACTGGACAAATTATTCTGTTCGGTAGTGACAGTAGCTGAGCAAAAGTATAAATCAACTCTGTGGTAAGTCATCCTTAATGTCTTCTGCAGCTATACTAAATTTTTTGAAGTGTTGCTTAAAACTCATAGTGCCAGGATTCTGCTGTCGACTTTTATAAAGTTGAATCCAGAAGGAAGAAAAAGTTAAAAATTTCCAAGAAACTGAATGTGACCAGAAAGGCTAAGTGCTAGCATAATCAAGTAAATAGTTACAGATTTTAATTCATTCGGTACATTGCTAATTGTAGTGGAAGGGGTACAGATATGAGGCCCTTCTTTCTTTCACCTCTGAAGAGTGCAATAATTACCCAGAAGCAAAGCAGAGAGTTGGAGGAGGGCATCTCTTCAGACCCAAACGTTATCATAACAAGTTGGAAATTAGGTGTCTATCTGAAGTGAAGCAGAGGACAGTTCAGTGACTTCTCAAAGATCAGAGTTAATCAACGGCTACATGTGATGCAGCGTTAATGTTTTATGGTGATATTCCATACACTCCTCTATTAATGCTGGAGTCAACTTCAGGCATTTGCACCCAACTTCAACTTGATTAAATTGCAAAGCACAGCATTGGATGCTTTAAAGAGGATAAAGGCAACAAACCATTGGTGTTCCCAGCACTCCTATTTGGAGACACTAGGAAGTATATTAAAAAAAAAAATGGAGAGATTTTTGATTTAAAAAAAGAAAAAAAAAAAGAGAAGAAAGCATTTTCAAACATTGAATTCCACTAATTAGTAATGTGTACTCTTCAGCACTTCTGGAGCTTGAATTATTGTGCAACTAGTCTGGCTTGTGTTAGCTTCAGTGAACTTGTGCTGTTACCAGGCATGCTAGGCCTGAGTGTCTTTCCAGAAGCTGCTCCTTTAAAGCTTAGTTAGCTTTGTTTAGTGATCATATTTGTAAATATAAATTTATCTGAGGAGTGACTTGGAAACGATGACTGTTCGAAACACAAGACTTTATATTCCCAGAAACCCTTCTTGTCAGCTGTGACATAGCAGCATTGACACCTAGCAAAATTCCACTCATCTCTGGAATTCATTCCTTGTTCTCCTGTTGTCGTCTGACTACAAATGCTTTTTATTTCATGATTTTGCATCGGAGGCAGGAAACTGATTGTATTTTATTGGCAGTTAAAAGACTCCAGTTTCTACTTATACCTGTGCTCTGCTTGCTCTTCAGGGACAAGTCAAAGAAACTGGCAGAACAGGCTGCAGCTATTGTCTGCCTGAGAACACTGGGTGTCCCAGAGGGCAAGTTGTGTGAGGGAGAAAACCACCTGATTAACAAACGCAGGAGGGAAGACCAGGAGCGCTTGAATAACAGAGACCACGGAGATGATGGTGCTGAGCCTTCCTGTAAGAAGGCTAATTTTATTGAAGGAGCTTCTGACATCAGTGTGCCCGAGATGCCACGATAGCATGGAAGTTAGAGGTTTCAGAACTATGCAGCTACAAATGTATACCTGGCTGTTCATATTTCATTTGGATCCTCTCAGAGACTTATTTTTCCCAGGTGTGCAAACTGCCAATGAGAAATGTCTACTATTCACTTCTCTGTCCCCACGGTGCCTTTCGGACAGGCTAAATCAGCAACTTGATTTTAAAGAACATTGAGAAGATAATCCCAAATAATAAAAGTTTTTAATATCTAGTATTTTCAAAGCAATTTCATTGTTGGTTTTATCATTTATTTGAAGAGGACTATGGTATCTTGGTAACAGATATCTAAATACATCATCCATAAGCAGCTGAATTCATTTGGGAATTAAATATTTAATTTAATCAGAAAATTTCACATAAAGTACTAGCAGGCAAGCAGACATATTGTCTGATGAGTTGCCTGTGTGATTTGAAGGCTTTATATACAACAGTCATATAATCATAGATAACAAAAAAGATTTTGATGAGAGGAGGAGTTAGAAAATATAATAGTAAACATGAAAAAATATATTTCATAATGTTTGCTACATGTTACCCTCCAAAAACATGACAATAACAGAATTAATCATTCTTCCTTAGTCTTAGGTATTGCACATATCTCTTTCGAATAACAGATTGGAGCCAGGACTGGCAGCTCTGAGTATTTTGAATTAAGGCATTTTGAGTAAGTTTTGTTCTTTTGAATTTGGAAGTTCTACTAAATGTCTGCATCTGTATTACTAGCAAGAGTAGGCATCCAAGTGTGGCCTTAAATCTGCTCTTGAAATGTGATAAAGTTTGCCTCAGTATTTCACTGTGACATTGGTAGTCTTAATGAAAGACATGTGTTTTCTTCTTAATTTGCCATTACAACTTCTACACCCTATCTACCAAGAGAGGATTTGACTCCAGTCAGATTGAATGGAAACCCAGCTCAGCTTGCCTGATTTAAATAAGTTTTGAATCCTCAAAAAGAGACTGTTCATATATTAAGAGAAAATTCAGAGGTTTAAATTATTTCCAATTTATTGAAGAGATGGAATAGTTTACCTTAAGGGTGTGATGGATCTTCAAGTTATCAGGTCCATCTGAAAATAATGTCAATATAATAATCCACCTTCCTACTTAAAACTTAAATTTTTATTTCAAATGACAGTTTCAGCATTAAACTCTTCTTCTGTAACAGAAGAGCAGTATCTCACCAGATAATGTTCAAACATGTAAAACTAAATACTTAAAATGAAAGCTATTTAGATCACCAAGTAATTCATAAAAAATCTATATATGTCTATGAAAAAAACTTTTTTGCTTATTCTGCAAACTGAAGTAAATATAATTAAATGTATTTAAATTTGATATAACTGTACTGCTAGAATTTTTCCTCTTAAGCGAAAAAAATTACAATATTGTTAATTTTAGAAGGAGCCTTTTCCCTGTTGAGAGAACTATCTGTGTATGTTTGTCAGGACCATTTGGGGCTATCAAATATACTTGTGAAGGTCACTTTCGAATTTCAAATGACCCTAATTTTTTGTGGAAGTGAATCTAAAATTAAGATTGAATCTTTATACAAATTCCAGTAATTAAAGGTGGTAGTGCCCAAATACAGTGCACAGTTGTATGGTAGTAATTACTACAGGTTGTTGGAATATTGGGGCCAAATTCTAGATAAGCCAACTGTGAAGAGCATGAAATTTATGCATTGACTTGTAGAAAAATCTGAAGAAAAAACACTAAGTAGAAGTTATGTCACTGCAGAAATGGACCTCTTTCAGAAAAAGTCCAGAATAATTCAGTTTAGGAGCCAAGGCTTACATAACAGTATGTATTATTTTTTTAATTTTTATTTTTTCCTCATACTTTGACTGGTGTGACATGAGTATGCATCCTGTTGCCTCCTTAGGGAAGCTTAGAATTTTAGAAAAAAAAAAATCTCTTGCTTTTCCCTGTTAAAATTAATAGCATTTAACATTAATGCAGTTCAATGCATTTTTGTGCCTTCTATATTTTATAGGTAGAGGTATGTGCCTGTAGTGGCAGTCCAGAATGTGTAAGGTTTGTGGGTTTGTGTGTGTTTGTTTTTGTTGTTGTTTTTAATTGAAAATGTGGGCAGGCTTCTGTGGCACTTCTGTCAAAAATGTCATTTGGAATTACAATTGAAGTTTGATGCTTAGATACAGGTTGTGTGAATAGTGTATAGATGTTTTATCAATCCTCTTCTGTAACAGAATGTGCGTGCCTCTGGGTGATGGACACTATTGGATAGTAGTGGATTTATATTCCTCTATGAGCTGAAACAGCATTGTATTAATGCATGACTGAAAAGTATACCTATGTTGTATGTATGTTAAATGAAATGTGTGCTTTTGGGGAGTTCTTCTGTTTTCTAATAAGCGCATGTTTTAAAATAATTGTTTAAACTGTTACCTGGTCATCAAGGCTTGTATTTATTCCTCTTAACTTATTATAATAATTGTATACTTTGCTGGGGCATAATTGCTATAATTATTGGTGAGTATCGCTAGTGCTAATAGTTGCAGCACCTGTAAATGAGAGTGTAGAGTCACTGTGTTGGAATGAGCATTTGCTGATAAACACAGAAATGCTGTAAGTAGTGGTATCTGGCCGGAAAGCGCAGCAAGGCTTTGACACCTTTGCCTGGACTCCAAAGAACTAAGGAAAAGTTGCAGTGTTCTGTGTGAATGTTTTGCCTTAATAGTATTTTCTGTAACTTGCCTTCATTCCTCTTAATCCTATTACAATTCATATGTTACTTAGACCACTTCTGCCCTTCAATTCATCCTAACTAGTTCTACAGCTAGGAGATTTTTTTATTTATGGGGTATGTTCCTTCACCACTACTTGTTTTAAAGCAATGAGTTGCTGAGCATAGCACTTTCCTTCTAGGAGTTTTTCTGCACATGGGTTTGACAGCAGCAGACTCTACTCATCTGTGTGGCGCTTTGTCATCTGCTTGTTTTCTGCTCTACCTTTCCTAAGCAGAAGGTGGCAGATGTTTTTGCATCCAGACATGCTGACGTCTGTATGTAACAGTGCAGTCATTGCACTTCTGCCTTCTTGCATAGGGTGGCAACTGAGACCACGGTTGGCTTGGGGCTGATTTAGTCTCAGATTTTTTTTTTTATTATTATTTTAATGTGATGTGAATGTGCTACTTGGTCAACACTAATGAAAGCCATGCTCTATTTTAGGTATTTTTGTGGTGAAAGTGTTTCAGTATTAATCCTATGGAATTTGGGGGAGCAACTGTTCTGCCACAAGGCTAAAATGAATGAGCAACAAAAGCAGCTGTGTTTGATTCTTGATGTTGATGCCACCAAAGCCATTGATAATGATACCTGCCAAAGTGTGATCCCTGTTTATAGGAGGTGCCTGTAACGTCTTCTCTGTGCAGCCGTCATGTGTTCTACTTATAATAAGTGGGAATGGGAAGGCCGGGATATTTTTGCTAGCTGCCTGCAGGGATGCGCTTGCTGCGGGGCTACCTCGGGGCTGGCTGCCCGGAATGCCTTTTGGAATGTCCCAGGCTCGGAGCCCAGCCCTGCCCTGGAATGCGAGGTTCAGTGTTGGCGGTGCAAACACACAGCCTGGGGATCAAACTCGTAAGAGTTGCCCAGTACTGCACTTTAGAGAGCGGGTGAGGGAACCACATGGCAGCTCAGCTGCTCTCCGATCCCACGCGTGAGCGCGCCTTGGGTCGCGGCGGGTGGAGGGAGGATGGTTTGTGTTTGGGTTGGGTTTTTACCTACCCGTTGTGACCTGCAGAGGAGCAAATTCAAACACTTCAACTAGCAAGATGGTAAGAGGCCCCAAACAGGTGCTAGCTTGAAAGAAACTTTCATTCACAAAAGCATTTTAGTGCTCTTTCTTTAATCAAAGCTGCAAGCTCAACGTACTTGAGGCCTTATTAAACTGGAGCCTGCTTCTATTGGGACTCAGAAACAGAAGCTACGTTGATGAGACGGCCTGTAAGGCTTAAGTTTCCATCTGCAGCACAGTGCAGGAGGCTCATGTTGGAGGCCTTTGCTCAGTCTCTGATGACAAAGCTGATGAAAACCATGAAAAGCAACATGCAAAGCCCTGGGTGAGGAGGGAGCGCCTGGTGTATTGTTAAACCGCCGTTGCCTGGGTCAACTAAGGAGAAGAATTGATGAGCTCCAGAGGGAGCCAGTCCAGTCATCCTTACTCAAATGAGTATTAACCTCCCTCTCTGAGAGGAGGCTGAAAAAAATACATGGCATTTGTTGTGTTCACTTAGCTCCAGAATGAAAATATCATATCATATATATCAAAATATCATGTGCCATAGGAGTTATTGGGAATATGCTGTGTTAAATATACATTAGATAAATTAATAAATACTTCTGTCTTGCTCTGGCATGGTAGGAGAGTCTCTGTTTTCCTTTTTTTAATGTTTTTGTCTGACAAATACTACAGTTTACAAAGCACCGTAGTACAAATTTGACATTTTACTTGTTTTGACTTAATTTGCTTTGTTACACTCGATGCATTTTTTTTAATACTTCAGCTTGACATTGTGTTTGATGTGTGAAATGAGCTTCCTGTTTAAAAATTCTTGTCCTTTAAAAATTCTTGCTTGTTTTTTGTAACTACCATGGATATAATTCTTCTATAATCAAGAACGTGAATATCTGATTGGTATTCTAATAGATATAGCTGGCAAAACAGGATTTTGTGTATAGATCTTAAATCTGTATTTTTAAGCCTTTTTTAAGAATCATATAAACATTGAACCTTTCCTTTAAAAGCATTTTGTCAACGTATAAGATGACCTATCCACTGTTAGGATGAGGCCTGTGCATGCCTGGATATTTGCTACCTTTTTTAAAAAAAAAATAGTTTTGGAAAACATTCTCTTTTTGAGCTAGAAGAAGAAGTAGCATCTGATCAGAAAAAGTAGTATCTGATGATTAGGAAGCTTCTCGGTGACTTTGTGGTTTGATTCAGTGCATGCTTATATACTTAGGAAAAAATAACTACT